CCGCCGCCCATTGGCGGCGGCGTGCCGACATGCAAATGACCAGGCGTCACGCCCGCCCATTGGCCGACCGAGCGCTGTGGGCGGGCTGCCGTGCTCGGGGGCGGCTCCCCTGGGTCCTAGAGGCGGTTCCGGCCGGGTCCCAAGGGAGCGGAGTCGCGCGCCCGGCGGTCCCGCGGGGCCTGGCCTAGGGCCTAGCGGCGGGCTGCGCCGCGCGTTCAAGTCCCCGCTGCGGAAGCTGCGGCCGCGGGCGCCAGCGCGCTGACCCTGTAGCTGGGTAGTGTCTGGTTCGTGGTCAGCCTCAGGCGAACCCGCATTCTTAGGCTCCGGACTCGACTGTACGCCAGGGGGAGCGGCCAGCGCACGCCCGCTCTTCAGTGTGTGTGTAAGTTGTGTCTGCTCGTGGCGCCACCTGCAAAGGCCCAGGACGCTATGGCTCCCTCTAACCTCCCTCTCACAGGGCTGCGGAGGGTTCGGCCTGGGTTTAAGTCCTGAGCTCACCCCTCAGTGCGAAACCTTTGATGATCTGCTGGACCTCTCTGAGCTTCAATTTCCTCTTCTGTAAAATGGGAATGATAACAAGACTCTCCTTGTAGGGCGCCGTGAGGATGCCTTGCTTTGAACGGTGTAAGGTTCTTGGCACGCAGTGGGGGCAGCAGAAACAGGGGTCTGTCCAGATCTGTGGTAGGGGCAGCCTCCCCCCGCCAGTGCCCCCAGCGCCTGGGCTACTGCCAGTTTTGTTCCTTCTCAGGCGCCCACCTCTGCTCAGGGCGGCAAGCTGGACCGCTACCCTCTTTACTGTGGTCACCCTGGCCAGACTCTTCACTGGACACACAGCTCTCATGAATTGGGGGGGGAGGGGTCTCACTGCTCCAGCCTGCAGGCATAGGACATGAGCTTTCAGCCTTCACCCCACCTGGCCACCATCACCCCTCCGAGGAGCTGCTCACGCGCCAGCGGGGACTAGAGGGTGTAGGTGGGCCTAGGGGAGCCTGGCCTTCAGGGCGGATGCGTACAGCAGGCAGGTTTAATTTTATTTGATTTCAGAAAAATCAGTGTAACCTTTAACAACTGAGAGACTGCATGCACGCGCGCGCACGCACACACACATCCCCGGACTTTAGGTTCTCTTGGGAATTCAGTCCTCTGGCCATGTGGGCGAGCTGCCCCCATACTGATGGCGGAACAGTGAGTCGCAGATGCTGGGCCGGTGGCTGGCAGGCGTGCCAGTGAGGAGGGGGCTCTGTGCCGGGGAGGGGCAGGTGCACACCAGCTCTGTCACCATGCTCAGCCCTCCCCAGAGGGCACCCTGGTCCCTGCAGTGTTCTGTAAACGGGCAGCCGACCTGGTTTTGTCCCTGTCCTCTTGCAGGAAGTGACCCTCAGCCCCTGGATGCGTTCAAGCGCCTCTTGGGTGCGGTGCAGGCAGCGGTCCCTGCCCTGGCGGATGGAGGTCTGGCTGACCCTAGACTCCGCCAGCGCACATGCGTCCTTCCTTTACACGTTTATTATTAGAGCCGCTGGGACCTCCCCCCACCCCCATCCCGCTTCCTCCAGCCTTGCCCGCGGACGCCTGTTTGCCGGGACCCCACGAGGGGGCGCCCGAGACCACTCAAGCTTGGCTGGAGCGGCTGAAGGTGGGGAGGTGTAGGGGAGGGGGCATCTGGGATAGTCCGAAGCCTGGGGAGTGGGGGAGGGTGTGGTGCTGGGAGGGGCTGCCCGCGTGGGAGGGGGGAGCTTAGCAATCCCCCCTCTGCACTCCCCCCCCCCCAAGGAAGCCGACGCCGGGCCAGGGGGCATTTCTGAGATGTGGGGATGAAGGGTCCCGTTTTGGCCTTCCTGACCCCTGAACGTGGGCCAGGATCCCAGCCCCGATGCTGGTTGTTCGCTGCTTGGTGATGTGGCCTGTCCTGGGTGTGGCAGGTGGGGAGCGTGCAGCCCCTGAGAGCACATCTCCCCGTTGGCCTGGCCTGGCTAGGTCTCCTCCCAACCCCGGCTGCTGGGTGAGGGGCTGCTGTCCTCAGCGTCCTGCAGGCTCCCAGGCCCCCCGGCCACGGCCAGGGGCTCCTGAGGTTTCCTTTTCCCTCGGGACGACTTCTTGGAGGCTGCGGGAGAAGGAGCCGGATCAGGCCGGGATGTCCGGGCGGCTGGGTACTGCCGGCTTCATGCAGCTGACCCCCTTGAAGTGACACAGGATAGCTCCTGGGCCTCCAGAGCCACGTGTGCAAAGTCAACTCGCCACCTAATGATTGATACCCAAGGGGAGGGGGAGTGGAGGGTGGTCCAGTTCAATTCCGAAGGTGAGCTGTGGGAAGCCGGTGGAAGCCTCAGACTCTTTCTCCAGGTCTGTGACCCTGAGGACAGGGCCTGACCTAGGCACCTCCCCCTACCTCCCCCCACCTCCCCCCACCCCTCGTGCCTTGAGAAGGGACATCTGGGTGACCAGAGCTCCTCCACAGACCCCGGCCTGGGGCTGGGACCACAGGGCAGAGGCACCTGTTCCCCGGGACCTGGGGGGGGGTCCTGGGTGGACAGCCAAAGTGCTGGGTTGGAACCTGGAGGGGTGTCCTGGGTGGACAGCCAAGATGCTGGGCTGGTACCTGGGGGGGTGTCCTGGGTGGACAGCCAAGATGCTGGGCCAGCCTGCTGCGACGCTCACTGTGTGGCGGACACAGCAGAAGGAGCTCGGGTTTTGGGTCAGATGGTAGGATTAAAATCCAGAGCCTATGTGCCTGCTCTGTGACTTTAGGCACATTAGCTCCCTTCTCTGAGCCTCGATTTCCCCACCTGTAACAGTGATCCTACCTTCCGGGCCGGTGGGTCATGAAGCCCAAAGGCAGGAACGACTGCGCCTTCCCCCTCCACGGGCGAGGCACAGGGACATTGCCTGGTGCTGAGCCTGGGGCACGCTGCCTGCACAGTGGGTGCCCGACACGTGTCGGGCCCCTTCTCACTGACCACCAGGGCAGTGCCACGGGAGTGTTGCTGGGCTGCCTTCAGGGCAGGGGTGGCCGTGGGGGAGGCCTGCCTGCTGACCCCTGACCTGGTTGGGTGGGATGACACGACCTCAACCTGCTTGCCCTCTCGGCTTCAGCCACATGGGTGCGGCTTGGCTCAGCCTGGAGGCCTGGGGGCTGCCCAACCCGCCCACCGTGTGGACAGGACTGTGGCTACATCCAGGACCGCTGGGACAGGGGAAAAGGCAGGGGTGCCGGCCCATCACGGCTGTGAGGACGGTTCCTGGCAACAGTGGCGCCTGCCTCGCTCGCGGCCCGGCTGGGACAAACCCCAGGGTCGCACCGAGGTTATTAGCTTAGGTGTTCAAAGCCTCGGCGCCAGAAGACCGGCGGAGCTCCTGCTTTTGTGCCAGAGCAGGAAGTGGGAAGCTGTCTGGATACCCTGGGGCAGGCCCGCAGCCCTTTCGGCCTTATCCGGGGAGTCGGATCCCTAAGCACCGCCCTCAGCAAACATTTGAGCAGCCCCAGCCCCAAGGAGCGCGCACGCTGCTCCCCCAGGACTCCGACCTCTGCTGCTGCTGCTATTTGAGGGTGCACAGCAGGGAGGGGAGGGGCTGGGGCGGGGTGGGGGTCCAGGACCACCAGGACGGGGCCACCTGTGGGCATGACGGTGATGGTGATGCTGAAGATGGGAATGATGGCTGTCCTCGGCGCTCTGCGCGTAATGATACTAAAACCTCCCAGTAGCTCCAGTATCGGCCCCTTTGACAGGTGCGGAAACCGAATCCCACAGGTGAAGGGACTGGCCTGGCCACTCACTGAGGAAGGGCCGGGGCCGGGGTCTGCTGCCAGGTCTGACAGAGTCCCCACTCTTACGGGGCCCACTCTGGAGGGGTGTGAGGGCTTTTGTTTCTGGGTTCAAGTTGGTCTGAGGAGGTAACCCACTCCCCAAATGGCCAGGACAGGAGGTGGCACGGGTGGGCTTTGGAGCTGCAGCGCTTCCCCCAGGCCCCGCCTCAGCCAGCCCCTCCCCATCTCTCAAGCCCTGCCCACTGGCCCCCTCCTATCCCTGCCCCCAGCCCAGGCCTCTCCCCCGGCCCCTAAGCCTCGCCCACTGACCACGCCCCCTCTGGCCCCTCCTGCCTTGCCCCCTCCCCCCAGCCCCGCCCCAGGCCTGGCGACCAGCCTGCCCTGTTTCAGCTCCCGTCTCCATCCCCGGCCCAGCCCCAGGTCCCTCCCCAGGCACCTCCGTACCGCAGCCCCAGGCCCCAGCTGGGCTTCCAGCCTCTCCCCTGACCCGTGCCTTTTCTCCTAGGCCCCTCCCGCTAGCCCCGCTCCGCCCCAGCTCCAGCCCCCTCCCCGGCCCCGCCCCGCCCCGCCCCGCCTAAGGGTCCCACCCTAGGCCCCGCCCCCTAGTACCTTTGCCTCGCGGGTCCGACGGCCGTTTCCGCTTGCGCTGCAGACCCTGCCCGAGTTCTTTGTCGCAGAAGCACCTGGGCCCGTCCCCTTGTGTGCTGGGCTTGGCTTCCGCCTCGGAACTGGGGGCCTTCTGGGCAGAAGGGGGTGCGGTGAGGACGAGGACTCCTCCACACCAGGATTCCCTGCGCGATGGCCCCGTGGAGCGTGTTCAGGACCCACCTCACTGTCCGAGGTGTCTGGCTCGTCCAGTCCGTCCGACTCTGGCCTCTGCGCCTCTGCCTTGCTGGACTCTGCGGGATACAGGGTGCCGGTCAGGCCAGGAGGTGGCCTGGGAGCGTGGTGACTCTGGCTGCAGTGGGAGCTGCAGATGAGGACATGGGCACAGAGGGGCCAGCAGCCTGCCCGCCGGCACTCCTGGTGCCAGGCAGAGCTGGGATTCGACCCAGGCCCAGCGGCTCCGTGTCCCCTGTATGATGACCTACCAGCTGGGGTGCCCCTTTCGCTGGGTCACTACTGGCGACGGGGATCTCACTACCTGCCCTCAGCCCTAATTCGGAAGATGTTCTTCCCTTCACAGTGTGTGCTTGGAGGAGCACCCACCCTGGCCCCCAACTCCATTTCTGGGTCTGTCGGTGGGAGACCCAGGCCCAGGGTTCAGCTGTTCAGGCAGACAAGGGCTGAGCTGGGCCCCGGACCACCGAGGTGCCCCTTCCCCAGCATGGTACCTCTCCCGGCCAGGCCCCCGTGCCCCTGGGCAGGGCTCATGCCCACCTGTGTGGCCATCAGCATCAGGCCTCTGCGGGCGGGCAGGCTGCCCAGGCCTCCCTCTGAGTTCATTCGCCCTTCCACCTGAAGAGGGCAGGCTGGGGCGGTGCCCTGGGAGGGGCTGTGGGGGGCCCTGGGGAGAGCCAAGTAAGTGGCTTGAGTTCATCTGGGGGGGCTGCCCTGGACACCACCCGGAGGACCCTGCGGCCGAGGGCCATTTCCTCTGTGGTGTGAGTTAGGCACACCCGCCCTTCGTGGGCTCGGTATGGCAGAGGAAGAGGAGTCTGCACCTCCAGACCCTGGCTGGGGAGGGCGGGGTGGAGGCCCAGGGCAGGGACTGAGCCCATGGCCGGGGCTGGGCCCTTACCGCTGGCGCTTGGGACTCCTCAGACTCTGGTGTTCTGGACCCCTTGGCGCCACTGCTGATTGCCTGGGGGCTGGGGGTTGGGGGCCCAGACTGGGCAGGTGGCTCAGCTCCCTGGGGTGACTCCGGGCTGGGAGTGCGGGTGGTTGGGGGGCTGAGTGACCCAGGGCGGCAGGCAGGCTTGGGGGTGGTGCGACTGCGGCCCCGGTCTGAGAGGTCTAGGGGCTTGTCTGGGGCATATTCCTGTGCAGCCATAGCTGCCTCTCCCCTGGGGCTGCCCGGGTCTGTGGGCCGTGGGCGCCACTCCCCATGCCGGGCTGCTGTGGTCAGTGCTGCCCCAGCCACCTTGACGTCCTCGGGGCCCTCAGAGTCTGAGCCAGTGGGTGGGGAGGGTGGCATACCCCCCGGCACAGGCATGCCCTTTGGCCTGGCACTGCCCACCCGCACCCGAAGCTGCTGCTGGGCCAGGAGCAGGTGCAGTGTGCCCTCCAGCCGTGGGTCCCTCACGTCCACCAGGGTCCCCGGCAGGCCCAGCAGGCCTGTGGGCTCCTCCCAGCCCTCGGTCTCCACAGCCTTTAGGCTCCTTGGCCGGGGGCCACCAGGGGCTGTAGTGGGGGTCAGGGGGCTGCTGCGGGGGCTGTGGAGGTGCAAGGCCAGGTGGTGGCTCAGGAGGCCGAGGCGGTCAGCCTGCAGGGAGCGCTTCAGGGCCTCAAAGGCCATGGCGGGGGGCCGGGAGGCCCGCAGGAGGCTGTGGAGGGGAGACCATATGAGGGCCCGTGGGACCCGTAACCGTCGAGCAGAGCCTGGGGGGAGAGACGACGGCCCCCCATTTTGCAGATGAGGAAACTGAGGCCTAGGGAGCTGAGGGTAGGCTCTGGAAGCCACACCATGTGGGCAATGGTGGACCTGGCCAGAGGGCCTGAGGCAAGGGCACTGAGGAGGGCCTGGACGCTCGCCTCCGTCTCTGGGTTTCTGGCGCCCGTGCCTCCCTGGAGTGCCCTCTTCCTCCCACGCAATCCTGGACACTTTCCTCAGGCTCTGAACCGCGTGGCCTTAGATGGACAGGACAGGCTTTCAGTGCCCTCCTGTGAAGGGGCTCCCCGGTGCTGGGCCCCGTCTGCTGTCCCCTCCCCCCTCCCCCCGGCCACTCGAGGTATCGGCATGGGGACTTCATGTAGGCAGGTGTCCGGGGAAAGCCAGGGAAGGGCAGGGGCTCCTGGAGGGATAATCAGAGGGACTTCCTGGCCCCTCTGGGGGTGGGGTGGGGAGCCAGAGTCTGACAGGGGATCTCAGGTGAGGCCACTCCAGGTGGTGGCAGTGGGTGGGGCCCTTACCTGTCCAGGGGGAGGCTGGGCTCGTAGTCAGGGCTGGGCGGGCTGCTCCTGGTGGCCCGCGGGGGTGTCCCATTGATGGAGCCGTGATCGGCGGGGCACACCCGGGACCCAGGCCGCACCACGGCGATGGTCCCATGCAGCTGGTTAGAGATACGCTGGGGGCTCTACACAGGCAGGCGGGTCAGTCCGGGTGAGGGCCGCCACCCTCCTCCACCCCTGATCCCGGGTAGGCCGTGCGTAGGCTGAAGGTCCCTGCCCCACCCACTTGGAGCTATGAGGCTGGCGGCCAGTGCCCTGCCTGGGGTCCCGCCCTCACCAAGTCTGGGGCCTGTGGCTCGGGCAGGTTGGCACCCGGGGAGATTCTGGTGACAGGCGATGTCCTGTACCCCAGCGGCTGCTCTGTAGGGGAGAGGCAGTGGGCAGGAGAGGCTGGGTGCAGCTCAGGGGGTGGGGGGCGGTCCACAACCCTGCCGAGTCCCCTCCCGCCCCGCACGCACCTTCTCCACGTGGATCCGTGCCGGGGCGCTCGGCCTCGTGCTCCTTGTGGCCTTGTGGTGACTTCTCAGTACTGGCCTTCTGGCCACCAGGAGAGAGCAGCAGCAGGGGTAAGGGGGGGTCCATGGCACCCTCCCTGCTCAGGGGCTTGGGCCTGTCTCTGGAGGGGAGGGAAAGACGGGGCGGTGAGGGAGGACAGTGCCCACAACTAGCAGAAACGCTGGGCGCCCTCCTCGGAGCCAGCCTCTCCACAGGCGACCCAGGAGACGGGGAGACCCAGCTCTGGCCCGTGCCTGCCGTTCGGCCGTCAGCGCCCCCTGCAGGGCTTGGCATCACCCTCCAGACTCCTCTCAGTCCATGTGCCCCCGGCAGAGCCTCCAGGCTCAGGGCTGCTTCAGGGGTGGGGGACACACTTTGTTTGGGGGCGTCCACTGGGGCTGCTGTTTACTTAGGAATCTCTCCCTGGGAGGTGGCCTAGGGGTCTCCTCACCCCTCCCCCTGCACCTCGTGCCCTGGTCCCCCTGCCTGTGTGCTGTGCATGCGTGGGTGGGCTGTGGGGAATCGGGGTGTCCTGGCCCCTTCCCCACTCACTCCAGGCCCTGAAGCTGCTTCACCTCCTCCTTCAAGCTCTTGTTCTCCTCCTTCAGCCTGGTCACCTCGGTGGCTGTGGAAGTCATTGATTAGAGACGCGGCTCGAGGGGCAGGGGGAGAAGCGGGACCAGGGAGGGGGTCCTCACAGCCCCAGGGCTTGTCTTGTTCCCAGCTGTGAGCCCAGCACTTGGCTCAGGGCCTGGCATACAGTAAACCAAGAAACCAAACCCCTTGCAGCTGAGTCGATTCCAACTCACAGCGACCCCACAGGACAGAGTAGAACTGCCCCACAGGGTTTCCGAGGAGCGGCTGGTGGATTCCAACTGCTGACCTTTTGGTTAGCGGCCAAGCTCTTGACCACTGCGCCACCAGGGTTCCTGGCATACTGTAGGTGCCCCATCAATGCTTGCCTTGAGGATGTGAATAGTGAGGGGTCCGCCCCCCAGTTCCGAGCGTGTCCCTGGGGGCTTCAGGGAGGGGGCTTGTCCTTTGTCAATGTCAGAAGAAAGCTGGGGCCCAGAGAGCGGCAAGGTGCCCCCGTCAGGGGCTGACGGTGGGAGACGCGGCAGGGCCAGCTGGGGTCTTGTGCCTGGCGTAGGCTCTGGGCATGGGTCTCCTTGTCTGTACAATGGGGCGTGGTACCCCCTCCCCATGGCACGGGGTGGTTGCCTTCTCCCCTTTCCCTGAGATGGGGGGCAAGTATGGCACACCCAGTAGCCCTGGGGCCCCCCAGGCAGGACGATGGGGTGGGCACATCACACCCAGTCGCCCTGGGACCCCCAGACAGGACGATGGGGTGGGGACATCACACCCAGTAGCCATGGGGTCCCCCAGGCAGGACGCTGTGGGGCTCACTCAGGAGGAAGACGTGCTGCAGACTCTGCAGGTGTGAACTCTCGAACTCCTGCTGCTTCTTCCTGGCCAGCTCCTGGGTCACCATGCAGCGGTCACACAGGCCGGCCCGAAGCCTGGGGGCAGGGGTGGGAGGCCGAGTTGAGAGTAAGCCAGCTGCCTCTCAGCACGCGGAGGGACCGAGGCCCACAGGGGCTGGGTCCCTCATGGCTCCTTCCAGGGTGTGCCTGATCCTCTCCCAAACCACGTTCTGCAGATCCCCCACCCCATCCCGTGCCCTGTGAGGTAAGCGTTCTGTGTTCAATTAAGTTTGGGAAGGAGTTTTGAAAGTGCAGTCTACTTAAGGACCTGGGGAGTTGTGTGGTGGGGGAACCTGCCTGGTTTGGCCGACCCCAGCATTGCCTTCTCCACCCTCAATTCCCCCGCCCTGCATTCAGCGAGGAGCCCTCTCTGCCCCGCCCCACATTCACCCAGGAGCCCTCTCTGTCACCCCATTCACTGAGGAATCCTCTCTGCCCCCCCATTCACTGAGGAGCCCTCGCTGCGCCCCCCATTCACCCAGGAGCCCTCTCTGCCCCACCGCCCCGCATTCACCCAGGAACCCTCTCCACACCCCCATTCACCGAGCAGCCCCCTGCCGCCCCCCAAGCAGCCCTACCTGTTCTCCAGCACACGCACGTTCTCCTTCAGCGCCTTCTGCTGCTCCCGGAGCTGCTGATTCTTGGCAAAGAGCTCCTCCATCCTCTGGGCATCTCTGTGGCAGCAAACCGCGAGGGGAGTTCCTCCCTGCCAGGGTCACTGCGTGCGGGCCCCTGGTCCCCCTGTCCAGCCCGAGGCCTCCGCGGGCCAGTTCTCCCTTGGGGCACCCGCTTAGGGCTGGGTCCTGCTTGGGGCACCCCCCTGTGGGGACTTGTGCTTATAAAATGGACCCCTGAGCGTGCAGTGCTTAACCCAGCTCTCATGCTTGAGTCGCACAGCCCCTCGGGCCATTTGCTTTGTCCACGTGCTGGTCGCAGTGCTGGAGCTCAGGGCAGAAATGCACGTAGCCTGTCTGCGAGATGGGACCTGGGGACCTGGGGACCGCCCGTAAGGCCCCCGTCTGGGCCAGAGGAGAGGGCATCTCAGGTGCCTCTTAGTGATCGCCGCTGCTGTCCTGGGGCAGGAAGACACCCTGTGGGGAGGGGCTGCCCCCAGGGGGGTCCCTGCTCCGAGGTGGGCTTGGAGGCTGACACACTGGGCTCGAGTCCTGGCTCTATCACCTACTCGCTGTGTGACCCTGACAAGCGACTCACCCACCCTCCCAGCCTCAGTTTCCCCTGGGGTCATGGCAGTACTGGCACCCCTGGGGTCTGGTGGGCCAGGCTCCTGGAGGGGCCTCTGTCCCCACCCCCGTACCCGTCTGGCCCCGGGCGGCTGTGCGCTCACCGGCATCTCTCAGAGTTCAGTTCCAGAAGCTTGTTCTGCAGGCCTAGCAGGAGGGGGAGAGAGGCTGAGGGCCAGGCCCCATACGTTCCCCGCCTCCCCCACAGGGGCAGGACAGAGTCACGACGTGGCACCTCCTGCCTGTGGTGTCTCTGGACCCCTGCCCATCTGCTGTTGGGTACTCTTTCAGCCTCCCTGAGGGAGACCAGGGGCCAACCCTGCCCAGCAAGTCCCCACCAGGCCAGCCGCTGGACGCTCCAGCCTCAGCTCCATCCGGTCACTGTGGCTCCGCACCTGGGGACTGGGCCCAGTGTCCCCCTTCTCTTGGGGTCCCAGGCTCTGTGGCATCTGTCTGAGGTTGGCAGGGACCATGATGCTGGGGGTAACCTGCCACCTTGGTCTGTCCTAGGAAGGACAGTGAGGAGCCCAGAGGGGCAGTTTTAGGGGGCATGGAGAGTGTTGAAATAAAGTGGCTTTGGAGACAGTCTCTGTAGACCTCCTTCTTGCCACGCTTTGTGACCCAGTGTGGATCGTGCAGGCCCAGGAGCCAGGGCTGGGGGGGCATAGTCTCGGCCAGCAGGCCCGCCTCTCGTGGTCACCCCAGAAGTAACCCAGGCCTTTGGAGGGCGGGCTTTGTGAGTGCTCACTGGAAAGGCTCTCAGGGAGGGTCTGGGCTGGGCATGGGGGCGGGGTGAGTGCGGGCTCCAACCTGTCACTGAGCTGGGAGCTGGGAAGGAAGTGAAGAATTTCAGCCTGGGGAACCAGCCCCAGGAGCCGTGAGCTCCCGCCCCTGGAAGGGGGCACCCTCATTCTGGGGGGCTCCCAGCCCCCTCCCTGGAGAGCGAGGGCAGGTCGGGGCTTCTTCCTTTGGGAGACTACGGAGCAGAGGAGCCTGGATGCTGCTGGTGGCAAGTGGCCTCGGCGTCCCTAACGTTACTCTGGCGTCCTGCCTCTCTGGGCTGAACTCTGGGTGCTGGTCACCACTCATGCTGGGACCAGGCCAGGTCAGTGCCTGTGGCCACTTTACAGCTCCGCGGCCTGGGTCAGGGCACCCCTTCCTGGGCCTGGAGACAGGCCCCCAGATTTGGTGAAAATTGAGGCTGCAGGTGGGAGCTCTCTGGCCTTACTTGGCCCTTAGGGCCGCGTGTCTGGGAGGGCTGTGGAGACCCCCGCCCAGGACCCCGTCCCGGCTGCACTCACCCAAGACCTCTTTCTCGTGGATATCCTTCAGCCTGTTCAGCGACTCCATGAAGCTCTCCATGGCTCCCTGTGGCCCCGGCCTCGGTCCCTGCACACTTGGGGTGTGGGGATGCCTCTACTTCCCCTGTGTTTCCAGCCTGCGGAAGAGGAAGTCGGGAGAGGGGTCACCTTGGCTTAGGAAGGGTCTGTGTGTGTGTGTGTGGCAACATTGGAGCGATATCGGGGGGCTGCCACCCGGGGCGGGGGCTGGGGGACCTGGACCCTGCCCACTCAGAGCTCTCGTGAGCCTCTCCTTGTGAACTGACCCCCCCCACCCTCACGTGGTCAAGTCCATGCCTGAGGGCCCCGGGGCCTCGTCTACCCCACTCTGCTCTCAGAGTATGCCCCCTCCCTCGCTCACTTGCTTTTGTCCCTGCAGGGAACTAGGACACAACACACACAGACATGCACACACAGACACACGTGCACACGGACATGCACACACAGATGCACACAGAGACACAGTACACGGGCATGTGCACATACAGATACACGTGTGCACAGACATGCACACACAGACACAGATGCACACAGAGACACAGTACACGGGCATGTGCACACACAGACACACGTGCACACGGACATGCATACACAGATGCACACACACAGCACATGAACATGGACCCATACAGACACACGTACACACACAGACATGCACACACAGACACAGAGCCACACGCACAGCACATGGAGTGAGTGTGCATGGGAGAGTGGTGTGTGTGTGTGAGCAGGCATGTGAGCGTGTGGGTATGTGTGAGTGTGCATGAGTGAGAGTGAGTGTGAGATAGTGTGAGTATGTGAGTGTAAGTGGGTGTGAGCAAGAGTATGAATGGGTGGGCGTGAGTGTGCATGGGAGAGTGGGTGTGTGTGTGAGCAGGCATGTGAGTGTGTGGGCGTGAGTGTATGTGTGAGCGAGTGTGAGAGTGAACGTGTGCGTGTCAGTAAGTGTGTAAATGTGCGAGGGTGAGTGTGGGAGCGAATGTCAGCATGCATGTGAGTGGGTGTGTAAGTGTGAGTGTGACAGTGAGGGTGGGGGCAGTGCTGTCGGTGCCCCAGCGCCTCTCATCCCTGCGCCTCTGTGACTTTCCTGCCAGCCCGTGTCCACGGGGGCCATGCCTGCCTGTTGGGTCTCTGTCCCGGGCTGGGGTCTCCACCAGCCGTCTTCACAGACAGGAGACCTGTGCTCTGAGCCTCGCAGTTCACGCCCCGGGTCACACACTGGAGTGTGGGGTCCACGCTCTGACACTTGGCCCGGCGGCCAGGCTGCGTGGTGCTCAGACCGAGGGGCTGTGAGTCCTCCATCTCTGACACCTCACACCGACCCATCCGCGAGGGTTCACTGTGGCCCCTAAACACGCGGTCGTGCTCACCTTTCTGGGCTTGAGTGCTACGGCCTCGCCTGGGCCGAGGTGGCCCCCTCCTGGTCTGGCCTCCACGTGCGCCCCCCAAGGACGCTCTCTGCCCAGCACCTCCCCGCTCAAAGCCCCCTCACGCCATGCCGTGTCCTCGTGAGAGAGGGGACATGATCAGGTTGGCACTTAAATGTCTCCTCCCAGCGGTGTTCTGCTGAGTAGGCCCAACATGAACCCCCAAATGCCCACCTCCCACCCGTGGTCCCCACAGCACCTGTGGCCGTCTGAGGCTGAGTGACGGCCGGACACCAAAGTGACCCTGTGTGCTCTGTTTGCACCAGGCTCAGAAAGAGGGAGGTGATGCTGACAGTGGGCTGGGTCCTTGCCCGGGCCAGGGGTCAGGGGTCAGGGGTCAGAGGTCAGGGGTCAGGGCACAGCTGGGACCAAACACTGGCTGGCCAGGGCACAGGCAGCTGCAAGCGTGGAGCCCGGCACTTGGCCTGATGCCTGGCAGAGCCCGGGAGCCGGAGCTGGCTGGGCCGCGCCCGCTGGGGTGTTACGGGGTTGAGGCCCACAGGAAGTGGGGCTCCCCAAACACGTTTCGAAGACCTGCCTGTGCCAGGATTCTCCTGGCGGCCTGGCCAGTGGAGGCCACTGCCTGGGTGGCCTGCGTCGGGGGCAGAGCTCTGGGCGTGAGGGGTCTTGGGAAGGGCTCCCAACTGGAGGCCGGGCGGGAGCTCACCTGGGGACAAGTAAGACACTGACTTCCAGAGGTGACCGAGGGGAGACCGGGGCCACGGGCGAGGGCGCAGGCACGTGACTGACGGTAGTAATAATCCAGGTGACTGTTTCATGACCACTCGGTCCTGATCACAGAGCGAGAAGCCCACTCTTCAGATGGGGAAACTGAGGCTCAGAGACATTATGTAACCGGCCCTGGCCGCCGAGTGGGGTGTGACAGGGTCAGGATTTAAATCCGGCTGCCAGAGCTGCACACCCTGCACATCAGCCCTGTGTGGAGCAGGGGCATCTGGAGTTTCCGCTTGCCCTTC